AAGTAGAGAAATGCATTCTGCTAGGACGAGGCCTGGCCGATGCGGTGCACTTTGGCCGATGCGGTCCCATGGCCGATGCGGTCCATGGGCCGATGCAGCCCCGCAGTCCAGGTGCGCTTCCTGGGCCGGTTTGATTCCTGGCCGATGCGGACCCCCACAGGCCGAAGGGCCACGTGGATGCTGTTCTGGTCATCGTTGACTTGAGTATGTGGGTCATGGGTTCCAGGCCCATATACTCTATCAGATGTTTTGAGTATTTCAATAATTATCTGGACAATTGTTTAATAGAGTCCCGTTCTTGTCCAGCCGGCCTGACGGAAACCGCCGTCCGGACGAGGGCATTTCGGGCACTTTCCGATCGAATTTGTTGATGAAAGTTTTTTAGCATGTTCTTCATCAAGTCTAGTTTCTCCATACCAAATTGCAGTTCAAAATTCGATCGGGAAGGCATTCAAATAATTTTGAAGTTGCCTGCGTCAAAATATACATATAAAAACGCAGTCAACTTCAAAAAATGATTTGAATGCCTTCCCGATCAAATTTTGAGCTGAAATTTGGTATGGATAAACTAGACTTGATGAAGAACATGCTCAAAAACTTTCATCAAAAAAATCGATCGGGAAGTGCCCGAAATGCCCTCGACCGGACGGCAGTTCCCGTCAGGCCGGCTGGACATGAAAAGTCCTCTTGTTTAATACGAAGTATATACTATCGTATACATAATACTAGTATTATATTGATAGTATATAATATACGGAGTATATTATATATATACGTGTATATATAAATAAACTAGTGGTGGGTGACTTATTTCAATCAATGCATTTATTCTACATGAATTTTTAAAATGGATCACATACCTCTCCAAACAATGTATTTTATTTTACTTGCAAAATGATTACTCTCCAAACGCCCAAGTGTGTTTTGGTAACCAGCTGGCCAAACACAACCTATTTGACTGCTCGAGTCAATTCACGTGGAAAAAAAGTCTAATATCAATATTGTATGTAGTAGTACTATGTAGTACATAGATTAAGATATGAATGTATTATTTGTATAAATACGCATAAAAACGGTAAATTATATTGTGACATCGTTATAGTGTATGATATACCAGTTACAAATACAGCACAATTCTTTTCCTCTCCGTTGCAATATCAACGGTTCATTTCTTTTCCTTCAATTTTGTGATTTCTTCTTTATTTTTTTCTCTAATTCTTTTCTTCTTCTTCATCAAAAATACTAAAAAATTTATTAACTCACATAAAACAAGTATATCCATAATAGTATAGTATTTCTTTATGTAACTATTTTTCTATCCATGCGTTTTCTGTAATATATTTACATATTCATACACTTTTTTTGTAATATATTTTATCTCTTTTATATGTTTTTACTTGATTTTAAGACATTGAGTTTGTTTTATTTCGATTTAGATTCTATAATAGATGAGATTAAATTTTTATGTGTGTGATTTACATTCTCATATATGTGAGTTACATTTATACATAATCCCTCAAGTTACATTTAATAATACTGAAAGTTACATCTTCTTATGCGTGATTTACATCATCGTATACGTGAGTCACATCTTCTCTTGCGCGAGTTACATCTTCATGTGCGCGAGTTACATTTTTCATATGAGTGGGTTACACTTGAGTTTGCCCAAGCAAGTTACATTTTGTATACGCACAAATTACATTTCGATTTGTCTGAAGTTACATTTTTCATACACGGGATTTACATTTCATATATAAAAGGTAGAGTGATCACTAGAGGGAGTAAAGTGAATTACACTCCAGTGAACGAGTTATATTTGTCACTACCTGAGATTACATTTCGTAGTAACGAGCGTGAGTTACATTTCAATACATGAAATTACATCACGAAAAATCTTGAGACAAAAATATGGGTATTTTTCCTGCGCATTTTTTATATTAACACTTAAACCTAAATGATGTCATTTAGGAGTGAGAGTATAATGTTCGTCATGGGTCACTTTCACGGTATAACAACTGTGTAAAAGGTATTTGAAATAATTGATGTTCCGTTATACTTTGTGAGCTTTAGTTTTTAGTTGTCCCAGATTTTTTATCATTTTCCAATTAGAACAACTAATTTATGCTTCAACTCTTTTCTCTGTCCTCTGCACAAACTCAACCACACATCTTTTAGTTTACTTATTTCTTACATATATGAGTACATACATTTTTGTGTGAATATAGACAATACATGTTTGTATATAGACATTGGTTTGCGTTTAAATCACATTAACTTGCATACTTTCTTTTGTAGAAATGTCAGGGTTAGGTTGCACAAAAACTAATGCTTGTGTACAAGGACATTAGTTGTCTATATCCAGACAAAAAGTATATATATATACTCATACATTTTTGTTTGTGTAACACATACATTGATTTTCGTGCAACCTAACCTTCACTTTTCTGATACTTTTTGTGTGTGTATAGACAATGAAATAAAACCAATGTCTGGAGAGTTTTTTTTGTCTATGGCAAAATTTTATAAAATGTTACAAATTTTAATTTTTTCCCTGCACACAAGTTATATCATTGTTTAACATGGCACAAACTATATTTTATATACCACACGGACAAAAATTATGACGGTCATTCAACTCTAATTTTTTGGTGGCTCTCCGGTGATTTTCCGGTGACTTTTAAATATTATTCCCTAACCCTCACTTTTCTGATACTTTTTGTGTGTATATAGACACTGAAATAAAACCAGTGTTTGGACAGATTTTTTTTTTGTCTATGGCAAAATTTTATAAAATGTTACAAATTTTAATTTTTTCCCTACACACAAGTTATATCATTGTTTAACATGGCACAAACTATATTTTATATACCACACAAACAAAAATTATGATGGCCATTCAACACTAATTTTTTGGTGGCTCTCTGGTGATTTTCCGGTGACTTTTAAACATTATCCCCCCCCACCCCATGATGCACAGATAAAAATAAAGGTGAAGGTGATGGTGAAGATGAGAGTATGAATAAAAGGTAAAAAGGTAGAAAGAAAGAAAAGGAGAAAGGAGAGAATGAGATCGGAGAACTAGGAGGAGAATTAGAGAGAGGAGAAGAATGGGTAAAACAATTGGAATGGTTTATACATGGTGTAATCCAAGGTGTACCTCTAGCATGGTTGACTTTTATTTTACATGTAATATGATTGCTTCTCTGAACTTTGTATATATTTTATTTTTAATGCAAAATATTAATGTGCAAACTATCAAAGGAACCTTACATGTGAAAATATATTAGTGATACTTTTGGTGCGTATATATAGTACTGTCTATTCATACAAAGCTATATATTTTGCGTAAAAGATCTTACAAATATGATATAAACTGTGTGAGAGAAGTATGTAAATGTTATTTATTTTTGTGTAAATGTAACATATATTGTTTACTAATACAAAGTTATATATGTTATTTCCTTGATCAACAGTGGAACAATAAACAAACGTAGAAGAGATAGAGTAGATGAATAATCAATCAACAAACCTTTATTTTATATTCGAGTAAAGGGTCAGTTTGGTCCTCGAAGTTGCAAAAAAGGCGTCAAATAAGTCCTTATATAGAAGATTCTGTCCGGATGTGCCATTTGAGGTGGCTCCCGGTGGAATTTTGTGATGAATTTTTTTGAGCATCTTATTCATTAAGTCTAGTTTACTCATACCAAATTTCAGCTAAAAATTCAATCGGGAAGACATTCAAATGAATTCTTGAAGATAACAACGCTTTTAACGGCACACTTATCTTCAAGAATTCATTTGAATGTCTTCCCCATTGAATTTTTATCTGAAATTTGGTATGAGTAAATTAGACTTAATGAATAAGATGCTCAAAAAATTTCATCAAAAAATTCCACCGGGAGCCACCTCAAATGGCACGTCCGGACAGAATCTTCTATATAAGGACTTATTTGACCCCTTTTTTGCAACTTCGAGGACCAAACTGACCTTTATCCCTTAATTTCATAATGATGATGCGATGAATGCATGATATACGTAAAGTGTTGAAAGAGAAATAAAGTTGAGAGCTCTAAGAATGATACACGCGACAGAACAATTGTGAACTCTTAGGCATGTTCTGTACTTCGACTTCTATTTATAGGAGAAGTATAGAGCATCCTGATTACAAAAAGATAGCCCACATATTTAATTAGAAGCCTACTTAATTAATTACAAAGCCCATTAATATAAATCTATTTAATCAAAGGTAAATACAATTAAATTGAACACCATAAAATACTAATTAAATCTATCTAACAATATATTTGATATAAACAGTTTCATGAGAATGTAAATTGTAAGTAAGCATATGTAAATACGGTATACTTCGTGTACTTGTAATACTAGCTGATAAAAACATTATTTGTTTGGTGTAAACACTCTTAAGTCGGGTCTCATCTGAACTGGTCTGATATGGTATGAACTGGTCTGGTCTAATCTGGTCTAGTAAATGTCCGGTTTCTGCATATTTTATAACTGTCCAAGTCTGGTCTGGTCTGATCTGATCTATTTAAGTCTGGTTTGGTCTGATCTGATCTATTTAAGTCTAGTTTGGTCTGTCTGGTCTGTTTAAGTCTGGTCTTTCTGGTATGTTTAATCTGGTGTAGTCTGATTTAGTTTGATCTAATCTGGTCTGGAACTGAAAACAATCCAAAAGAAACATCATTACTGATATGTTTGTAACGGGTAATGAATTATATTTGTGTAACAAAGGGAATGAGATGAATTTTAATTGAATTTAAAATATATTACGTATACCACAAAAATGAAAAAGTGAAGAAGTGCACAGCTAAAGATGTGTCTGAAGATTATATTATTTGTATATTGCGTAGATCCATATTACGGTTTAAAAGATACTACGTATATTTCTTAATCTGATTTGATTCACAGCTAAAAACTATTTGTTTCTAACCAGTGAAAGGTGAGATTGATTATTCTTGTCAGTGAAAGGCACACAAATATGGACATATATTTCATTAAATACTCCCTCATGTGTCAAGTTCAAAGTGAAGAAGTGCGAAAATTATCTTCTCTCTAACAACCTTGTCAATGAACAAAACGCGCAGTAGGAGCATGATGCATTGATAAATGATAATCATACGTGTATTTCATTTAACGCTCTTAATTAATTCTAAACTTTCTATAACACTAAATGGAAGAAGTTTTTACATTAATCCTGCAAGTGCAGGTGTGTGCAGCTGGCCTTGATTATTTTGGCACCTCTTTTAACCAAAAATATAGACTAGACGAAATGCCAGGGACTTGGCTGCTTTAGGGGTATGCAAATATATCAGCCTCGCATGGTTCGAAATTGGCTTAACATGGTACTGAATCAGCTCTGTGAGCTCAGTCCTCAAACCATTATTCCTGTAAAAATAAGGTGTGTTATAGTAAACTGTCGTTGCCAATATGGACCTTAATTTGGTTGGATTTAAAACTTGACATTTCTGTTCCGGTCATTGACTGCAATAATAGCACATAAGTCAACTGTCATGTACTCATGTAGCCTGAATACTTTGAGGGTCTGTCATGCAACTTGAAGTGTCATGAAGAATACAGAGCAAGTACAGAGACTACGTCCTAAGGTAATAATCTGATTCTTGAGTGAAATCTTAAACTGTTAAACATGTTTCTATAACCAGAACTCCAGAAGCCATATATTTGGACTGTGGTGTTTCCTTTACCCCAGACAGAGCTTTGCGGTTTTCACTTTCCAGATTCTTTATAAGATCTCATTTTGTCATTGATGGACAGGAAACTCCAAAATTGTTTGTTATGGCACTTCTGTTTTCTTCAATAAATAGGTATGGTTTGGCATTGGTATGATAATTTGCATAGTCTTGTTTTGAAATGGTACAATACCAGCTAGTTCTAGGACTAAACCAAACTATACCAAACCATTTGAATAATCATGATTCAATACCCCTTTCAGGAAGATGAAACCATACTACCCCACACCATGCCCAAGCAACCGACCCTGCGCCATCTTGAAGGCAGAATTTATAACAATGAAAACTAGAAACATATGTACACAAACATATATTCCTGAAATTTAGTATACCACAGCAATCAGTATGACTGGTTTACCCATAATGGCAGAGGTGCCCTAAGCAAAACAGGTTGCCCAGAAACAGGATGTGTGAATGACAATGTTTCGGCATGAAGTTCATGGCCAGTATGTGTATGACCCTTCCACTCATACACTCCTTCATATTTTACGTCTCCTCTAATTGGAATCCCAAGATACTGACAGTGCAAGCGTATTTGATGGGTTCTTCCACTCCGAGGGTATGCCCGAATCAAAACAACATCTTTCTTCATATCCAAATCAACCATAGATTTATCTTCAACAACCACTAAGGACCCGTTCTCTCCATCTGAAAAAAAATGAACTGGCATAAGCTTCTTAAGATCTGGCCCGGTCATGACCTTTCAGGTTTATCTAAACCAATACGAGTGTTTCTGGGTCTGGTTTGTATCTTTCTGATTAGGACTAGCCTGCAACTTTCTTGCCTAATCTCTTGACTGATATGAGTAATGGTAAAGAGATATTAAATGTACATTCTAGAGAAGCATCCATATGTGACAAACATGTCAAACTTTTTATCACCCAATGAATTTGATGTATTCCTAAAATGTTTACATTTTATGCCCCCTATCATTACTCGTCCAAACATATCTCATCCGATTATATGTATCTTTTGGTCAATGTTCCTGGTCTGGTTTGAATGATCAGACATGGATAAAAAGAATAAGTAATAAAAAAGTGTCAGATGACGAGAAGCACCTAACTCTCCCTCTTTTTCAGCCTCTAGGTGTCGAACCCCGTTGATAGATAGAACTTGGAAAGAGGTCTCCATGTCTTTAACGACTGATCCGCCTGGCAGTGACCGGCCCACATCAGACGTGGCATAAACACGCCATGCCCCATGTTTTGACCGCCCATGTCCTGACCGGATGACAAGTTGTCCCCATTTAGGTGCTTGTCCTACACACAGACCAAGATATGTTTTCCTAACTTTATGGTCTGTAAATGCTTTAACGAGCTTAGCAGCTACTTTGTGGGACTTGGTGATTACCATTACACCACTTGTGTCCCGATCCAGTCTGTTAGCTAAATGCAGTTCAGGGTGTTTGGCACCTGAAGATACGTAATTGCATATTTAACATCAGGGGTTATCTTCAATTCAAATATGTTCTTAGATTGAAAGCTTTACCAATAATCAACCACATTGCTACAGAATACAGACCCTCAATTCACATCAGCAATATTAACACTATGCGTATTCTTTCTTCTCATTTACAAGGTAACCCAGTCGTACATGAACTATACATCAAGCCACATATAATGACTACAAACCTAAATCATATTCTACTGTAAAAATTGCTCCTATCACCATGAAAGTCCTCAAGTCTAATCAAACAAGTCACAATGCATATATTTAGAACCGAAAAGGATGAATTTGGCCAAATGACTGAAATTTCTGAAATTGTGGTAGCACGGAGTAATAACTAAAAAAGAAATTGCCCTAAATATGAGTAAAAACGTTTGGAATTCCAAAATAGGAATAACTACTACTAGTATCTTTTATTCCCTAAATAGGAGTAATTACGACCATGTTTTGGCATTGGCAGACTTTAAATATGACATTATTATCCAAACTCGGCAGCAATTACTCACATTCAAGGAATATCGTAATCCTATTGTGGGATTTCAAAACCTCTTTACTCTTATTTCCAAAAAAATCCCTAGCTAAAATTATTGAAATGTAAAATGTACGTAGTATTCTTTTATAAACTTATAACCAGTTAACCATAATGCTGGAAATCATTATAGAAGTCCCCTTTCAATTATTTTAGCAACTTCAGCAAATAAAAACATTCTTTACTACCTTTTCCTTCACCAAACAATTCAGTCTAATAATGAAAAGCAAGGAAATTTTCTTTTGGACTGAATTTTAAAATTCCGGTTTGATTTTATCTGGTTATAATTGTAATAAAATATGCAGCAAGCCTGGTAGTTCAGTAATGGTCCAATACATCGGAGTGAAAAAAGTTCTACTGGATAACACGTCCTAAGAGCAACTCCAATGCTCTACTTTCAACATTAAAAAATAATTGACACATGTCAAAAAACGTATGGAATGTCAAGCCACATAAGAAGTGGTGGAAGCATAATAAATGGAAAGTGTAAAATCTCTTTCAATGCAATTTAAGAGACTGAATGGATAAATGGCTATTTCTAAGTTCCGTAGCAGTAACCCACTATGGATAAACATGATATCCGCATTTGCCGTTTTCAAGGTGCGTAATTCGCACCACTCGTTTTCAGTTTTTCACCCAAAATGCTGAATCAGCCTGTCTAAATGGCTTTGTAAAATGAGAAAGTGGGTTTGACACTTTCTTTAACACATAAGCACGACATTACAATCTAAAGACCACATTGGAGAAAGGTTTTTAATATGACTTTCCTGTTGTATTATGTGGCGTACGTTTCTTGATGTGGAAAGTGGAGCATTAGAGATGCTCTAAGTTAGTTGATGTAAGTTTTGGGTATTAAAAAAACAGTCACCTGAGTGGAACTCAATCTCCAACTCAATCAGTCATTTCAATGCGTCTGCCGAAGCAGATGTAACAGGAGTCTTAATCGACTGCTAAACTGAGGAGCAAATAACAAGAGCCTAACTCAATTGTTATTTGAGAATGAAAAGATTTTAGAAGAATCAGATAGAAAAATGGCGGATGATCCTTTATTCACTATAATGGTGTATTTATACAAGAGATTGCTAGCTAATATTCAACTGTCTGATAACAACTAACAACCAAGTACAACTGAATTTTAACTAGCTATCGATCTATTAACAGAAGTCAACATCCAGTCAAAACCACCGTTACACTCCTTCCCCCTTGAAAAGATCCAGACTTGTCCTCAAGTCAGCCTGTTGTTCTGTTAACATCAAACTCAGGATATTGATCCATAAATGTTTGGGCAGATTCCCAAGATGCTTCCTCAGATGGAAACCCTTTCCATTGTACCAAAAATTGTACTTGAGCCTTATTCTGAAACTTTACACTTCTTCTATCCAGAATCCTCTCCGGTTGAGGCAATATCTCTGCAGCTTGTCCCTTGAACCAAGCAGGAATGTGAGTTGCCAAAGGAAGTTCCCCTTTAAACTTCTTAAGCTGAGATACATGAAAAACATCATGTATTTGAGAATCAGCTGGCATTTTGAGCTTATAGGCCACCTTACCTATAACTTCTTTAATCTGAAAGGGTCCAAAAAATTTGGATGACAGTTTCTGATTGTTCCTTATTTGCACAGATTGCTGCCTATAAGGTTGCAACTTTAACCATACCCAATCTCCTATAGCAAATTCTCTCTCAGACCTTCTTTTATCAGCCATATGTTTCATCCTTGACTGAGCTTTACTGAGATTCTCCTTGAGCCTCTTTATCATATCTTCCCTTCTTTGCATTGTTCTGTCAACAACATCTATCTTTGATTCTCCTGGTAAGTATGGTAGATATAAGGGAGGAGGTTGATTGTATATAATTTCATAAGGAGTCATTCCTGCAGATGAATGATAATGAGTATTGAACCACCATTCTGCTAATGGCAACCATAAACTCCATTCTTTAGGTTTTTCACTGCACATGCATCTCAAGTAAGCTTCCAAACATTTGTTCACTATTTCTGTTTGACCATCAGTTTGCGGATGGTAGGCAGATGATAGATTGAATCTGGTCCCTTGCAAGGAGAATAATGCTTTCCAAAACTGGCTTAAGAAAATAGCATCTCTATCACTCACAATACTTTTGGGCCATCCATGTAACTTGAAAATATTGTCCAAGTAAGCTTGAGCTACCTCTATTGCAGAAAAGGGGTGAGATAGAGCTACAAAATGAGCCCCTTTACTCAGTCTATCAACCACAACAAATATTACCTCCTTCCCTTGTGATTTTGGCAACCCAGTAATAAAATCTAATGAGATATCTACCCAAACTTCTTCTGGAATGGGTAATGGTTGCAGCAAGCCTGGATATGCTATGTTTTCATGTTTGTTGGCTTGACAAACCAAACACTGTCTAACAAAGTTACTAGCTTCTTTATTGAGACCCTTCCAATAAAATAGAGCTTTGACTCTCTTTAGTGTTGCATCTCTACCAGGATGCCCAGCTTCCCCAGAAGTGTGATGCCAACTTAAAATCTGATTCTTCAATGTATTATCATTGCCTACAACAATTTTCCCTTTTCTTCTTAGTAATCCATTAAGGATTGAATATTTTTCCACAGGCTGATTCTGTCTGATCCTTTCCAGTATTGCAGACACATGAGCATCCTGATTGTAACTATCCTTGATTAGTTGTTCTAAGTCTGAAGCAACTATAGAGATAGCCAAACATTCTACTTCAGTTCCTTGAACTCTAGATAGAGCATCTGCCACCACATTTTCCTTGCCACTCTTATATTGAATCTCATAATCAAAGCCCATTAGCTTAGATAGCCAAAATTGCTGAAATGGAGTAGAAATCTTTTGTTCTAATAACCACTTAAGACTCTTTTGATCTGTTTTAATAATAAAATGTTGAGAGATCAAGTATTGTTCCCATTTTTGCACAGCAAATACAATGGCTAACAACTCCTTTTCATAAACAGATAACTTTTGCCATCTAGCACCTAAAGATCTGCTTATGAAAGATAATGGATGATCTTCTTGCATCAAGACTGCACCAATACCTTCATTGGATGCATCAGTTTCCACTACAAAAACTTTAGAAAAATCTGGTAGTGCCAGAACTGGGGCTGAACTTAAAGCCAATTTCAGCTTTTCAAAGGCCTCCTGTGCATCATGTTTCCATATGAAAGCCCCCTTTTTCAATAAATTTGTTAACGGTTTACTAATCACCCCATAACCCTTAACAAATTTCCTGTAATAGCCCGCCAAACCCAGAAAGCTTCTCAACTGTTTCACAGACTTAGGTATTGGCCATTTAGTTATTGCTTTCACCTTTTTAGGATCAGTTTCAACTCCATCCCCGGATATGAAATGACCCAAGTATTCCACCTTCCTCATTGCAAAATCACATTTAGCAGGTTTAGCATACATCTGATTCTCCTTCATGATTTGAAAAACCATTTCCAAATGTTTCCAATGCTCATCCATACCCTTACTGTACACGAGTATGTCATCAAAAAATACTAGTACACATTTCCTAAGCAAAGGTTTGAAGACTGCATTCATCCAGTTCTGAAATGAAGCTGGTGCATTAGTTAATCCAAAGGACATTACTAAAAATTCATAATGTCCTTCATGCGTCTTAAAAGCTGTCTTAGGAATGTCTTCCTTGTTCATCCTTAATTGATGATATCCCGCCCTAAGATCCAACTTACTGAAAACTTTAGAACCAGCTAATTCATCAATTAGCTCATCTATAATGGGTATGGGGAATTTATTCTTTATGGTTCTTTTGTTTAATTCTCTGTAATCAACACATAGACGCCAGGTCCCATCTTTCTTTCCTATCAACACCACAGGAGATGCATATGGACTTGAGCTGTTTTGAATTATTCCATGCTCCTGCATTTCTGTCACCAGGTTTTCAATGATGTCCCTCTGCCTCAATGGATATCTGTAAGGCCTGATATTAACTGGATTAGCACCTTGTTCCAAAGGTATTTTATGATCATATATACCTCTAGAAGGAGGTAGAGATGTAGGTTCTTCAAAAATTACCCCAAATTGTTGTATCAATTGCTGTAATTCCTTTGGATATTGATTTTCCTTCACCTCCATTGTAGCATAACTCCTATCTGATTCTTCTTCATAAAGAGGTACTACCTGTATAGAGAAAATTTGAGTAGCTTGATCAAAGAGTTTATTGGACTGATGATCAGACAATGATTTTATCTTGGAAGTAGTTAACCCTTGAAGAGTAACCGGTGATCCTTTCCATTCAAATTTCATGATTAACTTCTTGAAATCCCATTGCACTGGCCCAAGTTCTGTAAGCCACTGAACTCCTAATACCATATCACAACCTCCCAAAGGTATTAGTAGCACATCAGTTTTGAATAGGTGATGTTGCAGATTCCAAGTAAAATCTTTACAAATGTTCTGGCAGTCTAGGTAATTCCCATCAGCCACTGCAACAGTCTTTGATTTCACCTTCTCAATCATCAGTCCCCATTTCTGAGCCAAATTTATATCCAAAAAGTTGTGTGTACTCCCAGAATCAATCAATATATGAAGAAATTTCCTTCCAGCATAACCTATCACTCGCATTGTTTGGAATCCTGAACATCCAGATAAGGCATTGATGGAAATATAAGGATCTTGATTCCACACTGTCTCACTTTCTCTGTTTGCTTCATTATCATCTACTGTTCCTTCCTCCTCTTCAATACCTTGAACCTCTACCATAAATAACTGAGTCTTCTTGAATTGGCATTTATGATTCTTATCATAGGGTTGATCACAGTAATAACACTGTCCCTTTGCCAATTTTTCAGCCCTCACTGAAGCTGGAATGTAGTTTCTAGAATTATTCGCAGGGCTGTTTTGGTTCCAGGTCGGTATATTCTTAAGAGGAAGAGATTTGGATGTGGTGTTTGTAACAATAGGCATACTTCTTTGAAAAGTATTAGAGAGTTTAGAAGTAGCTGCTATTGTTTCTTCTTGTGATCTAGCAAAATCAATAGCCTCAGCCATAGTAGAAGGTTTAAAAGCTCTAACAAAGGATTTTAAAGATGCTTTTAATCCTCCCACAAAGCAATCTAAAAAATACTTTTCTGGCAACGGGTGAGTTCTTTTAACCACACTCTTAAGTTCTTCAAATTCATCAATGTAGGCATCAATAGAAGATTTTTGTTGACATTTGTTAAATCTTTCAATTACATCTCTTTCAGATTCATCTCTAAATCTAGCAGATAAATCTTCCTCAAAATCCTGCCAATTAACTCCAGTTTTGTCAACCAAATAGTTAGTTACCCAAATCTCAGCTTTTCCAGACATATTGAGAGCAGCAATATCAACTTGTTGTTCATCCGGAGTACGACATAATGCGAAATATCGTTTGCATTTCTTAATCCACAAGCTACTATTATTACCATCAAAATGAGGAAAATCCAATTTAGGAACATACCCCAATGACCTTCCATGATTTCCTCCCCTCTCGTGATAGTAATTGGAATTTGGAGAGTTGGAAGATGACTCCTTATCAACTTTCTTCTGCAAATCCCCCACTACTCCAAATAATTGTTTAAATTGTTGTTGAATATCCTGCTGAAATTGCAGTTGAGATTGAGCGAGAGCCTGAATTTGCTCTTCCATAGCTTCTATGGCAGCTTTGGACCGTGATCGAGGCGCCAGTATGATGCGGAAGAACCTTCAGCTGGAAGCGATGACTATTGGAATCGGAAATCTCCGATACCAATGTAACAGGAGTCTTAATCGACTGCTAAACTGAGGAGCAAATAACAAGAGCCTAACTCAATTGTTATTTGAGAATGAAAAGATTTTAGAAGAATCAGATAGAAAAATGGCGGATGATCCTTTATTCACTATAATGGTGTATTTATACAAGAGATTGCTAGCTAATATTCAACTGTCTGATAACAACTAACAACCAAGTACAACTGAATTTTAACTAGCTATCGATCTATTAACAGAAGTCAACATCCAGTCAAAACCACCGTTACAGCAGATTAAGCAACTCTACAAAGTCTAATACGTATGGAGGAGTCCCGTTCTTCAGCAAATTTCTCTTTTTCCATTCAATTTTCCATTCAATGCAACAATTAAAGATACAATGAATCTTTTAATAATATAAAAGAGATTGATCTTATCATAGCGAGAAACTCACTGAGTTCGTTATCCGAGCCTGTTATTAGAAGATTCAAGACAGCGGACAATACGCTTTCGCAATAGATTCCTCGAGGCTTGTTGACCGCGACGAGCCACTCGTCTTCGAAGATGACGTCGTCCCTGGATAGAGAAAACAGCGCTGATCTAGAGGATGCCGTCAAGGCCCTGTTTAACTCTATGTCCTTGGATAATGAAGGAAGAGGCGGAGACAGTGGCACGGGGTAATCACCGAGCTCGTCCACAGGTTGGCTTGCCATTGAGGTTTGGGCAAAATGGCGATGGAGTTTCAGGGGGCTGAAAGGAGAAGTGCGTAATGCGGAAGACGGAAGACGGAGAAGAATGGGCACGCTGGTCATTACATGTTTATGGTGCGAAAGGACCAGTCTGGTCACTTAGACCTGGGATGTTTGGAAAACCGGGTTTGACTCAATAGCTTATGTGATTGAAATTTGTAGATAAAGAATTAAATTTAATCACATATTTCTTACTTTAATATAAATCACAAATCTTTTTTAGACATCCAAAAAAGGAAATTTGGTCAACCTTTTCGGGATGGGAGAGCCTATATTGTACAACCGGATGTATGTACATCCGGCCCCAGTAATGAAAACAGCCCAATAATCAGTACATGCCATTTTTTTTTCGGTGGCATTTTTGTAATTTAAGCGAAAAGTCATGGCTTATGCTAAATGAGCAATATTGTAATTTTGGTGAGCATCTGACCTATTTTAGTGAGTAGTAAGAGGCTAACAATGAGTATAACGATTTTTGCTTCATATCTTCTATTTTTTTCTTTTTCTATTATTTTCTTTTATAAAAATTTATTAAATTATATCTATTATCTACTCCTATTAATTTAAATATGTGATTCTAATGTAATATGATACTTTTAAAATATGCATTGATATGACATTTAAAAAATGAGCATAACATCAGTACCAAATGAACATTCACAACTTACAAAGTGCACATTGATATGAAAATCATAAGGTTTGTTAGTTGAACATCACAACATTTTAACTGAGCATCAAACCTCCGTTATTGAGATGATAATCATGGTTGCTGGTGAATGAGCATTAATGAACTTTTAATGAACATCAGAACAATTATGTTGAGTATTAGGAGTCTAATATTAGGAATCGCGATCTCTGCTTCATAACTTCTAATTCACTTTCTTTGTATTTATTTTTTTGTAAAAAATATTAAATTATATCTATAATCAATATGTGAATCTAATGTAATATGATACTTTTGAAATATGCATTTATATCACATTTTAAAATGATCAAACATCAATATCAAATGAGCATACTTAACTTACAAAATGAGCATTGATATGAAAGTCATAAGCTTTGTTAATTGATCATCAAAACATTTTCTTTGAGTACCAACTTCGTTTATTGTGTATTTGAATCACGTATATGGTAGTTATGAAATATGCATTGATATGAAATTTTGAAATGAATATAGCATAAACATACCAAACTTACAAAATTAGTATTGATATGAAAATCATAAACTTTGTTAGATGTACATCAACACATTTTCACTGAGCATCAAATTTTCTCTATTAAGTATTAGAATCATTGTATATGACACTTTTAAGACATGCATCAATGTCACATTTAAAATGAGCAGAACATCAGTACTAATTGAGCATACATAACTACAAAATGAGTATCAAAAATTCAAAAATCATCTTCATTAAATTACAAGTTGAAATTTTTGGGATTCCAATGACTAAAATACGAAGCACAATAAAAAAAGAAACACGAAGCATAACACTTCCTCTTCGATAGAAGCCCACAAGCCCACAACGAATTCTTCAGCGAGAAGATTTCATCCATCGGTGCAGAACTAAAATACGTAGCAGAAGACATCTTCCATCTGTGCAGCGAGCAAGCAGCAGTCAAGCATCGATCCGAACTCAGGGAGCGGGCAAAATCGATCGCGTCTGCGTCTCCTTCACCGATCCCAGGGCAGCGAGCAGCTTAACAGAGAACACCGAAAGACCTTTATCATTGACTTTGTAATTGATTGCAAAAATACCCGGTTGTACGGTGAGAACCGTACAACCGGGTGTACGGTATAATTTACCTCGGGATGGAGGGAGTATGTCTTTAGCTAGAACCGTTGAAATAAAAATGCCTCAAAATGAGAGTTATAGTTTTGGAATATGACGTTTCTACTGATTGTCAAGGTCAAATAACTAAATTATCAAATACCTCTCACAACTCGTCAACTTATTCTGCTTGTTAAATCTGCTGACTAAATCAGATGTCCACAAATCGCTAACACAATATGTTACCCGCTAATCGGAAAATGCAAAACACACCCCTTGTCGGCGTCAAACCAATAGTCCAATACTCGGTATTTGGGAAAATGGGATAGTATTTGTTTTGAAGATTCAAAATAAAATAATTACTACTACGTATAAGCCAAGTACTTTATGATTCAATGGGATCATGGTAGCAATCTCAATAAGGATATCGCGTGTTTAAACTCATCCCACTCAAAGATGTTGACATTTAACGGAGCATATACTATAGACCTATAGTGTGCGAGAAAGTAAAAAAAATACAATTTCTATAACATTTAAAAATAGGATACTATATTTTTTATTCTCAAATAAGAGTAATAACTATCAAAGTTAGGAAATACTATTATGTTCAAAATCTGATAAAATCAAAACGTAATTACTCTTATATAGGGAATACAACATTGTACTCCTATTTTGTAATTTACAAACATTTAACTCCTATTTGGGGACTGTAAAAAAATAACTCGTGTATGGGATAATTTCACTTCCTAACCCCATCAATATTTTCTTGAATCTAGTCAAGTTATTCTTCATCTAAATGCAACATAAGTCCATATATTGTGAAAATTATTGAGCTCATTTAGCAACACTTTTATCATCTATTTGATTATGATACCATTATGTTTACAACATTTTTGTGAATAAAATAAAGAAAAATTATGTGCTCTAGAAAATTTTTATATGGGTTGAAACAAGCTCCAAAACAACGGAATGGAAAAATTGGCAAAGTGTTATTTATTTATGATTTTACCTCACTATAAGTATATAAGTGTGTATGCACTAAATGTGAAAAGTTGTGTGCATTATTACTTGTTTATATGTGGATGATATGTGATTTCGGGTATGAAAGTCATAAGGAAGGATGATGATATTATGCTGAAAAACTTATAAAGAGATTTGGACATTTCGATGTCACCACTGTAGTATCCCTTACGACTCTCATATACACTTAAAAAAAGAGGTGATCCCGAGGCTCAATACAAGTATTCCCAAATTATTGGATGTTTATTACACTTGATGAATTACACTAGGCCCGACACTAGAAAAATTATCCTTTCAAAAAAACATAAAGAAAACTTATATGAAAACATATCAAATAAAGCCATCTTTAACAAATTCACATCACTCTTCAAAATAACTCTGACCTTGTTTTGATTATTACACAATTTAATGTGTGAATTAGTGTGTGTTTAGTAAAAAAATATTTGATAAGACCGATACGCTGAAATATGAACTACCAAATGGGGTGATTTTAAATAGAAATGAAACCTAAGCAAAGTATGAAATAATTACATAAATATGATCAAAATAAAGATGATTTACAAAAATATGATTAGTGACTAGAGTAGTAATGAAATCATAGTAATTCATGTTCAAGTTTTGAGCTTAAGTTACCCCAACACCACATTGTAGTAATGAATAATCATATTTATGTAAATATATTTTATTTTAGTAATAATATTGTAAAAAACCCCGCAAAGTATCTCTTGAGGGTGAGTGAGTTTTTTTTAAATATGATGGTCTTATTTGAGAAAATGCGTTGTTTGGGAAAATTTATCTTTACGGTGTGTGTCCATGTCTATATTATTATGCGGAGTCAGGTGATGGATATTAAGTGTTAAGTTATTGAGTGTAGGTAGGTAATACTTATTGATTTGATATAATTTATAGTAGATATATAATTATGGAAAATGCATTTGGTCCTTGAACTATCATCATCATATCATTTTGGTCCTCAAACTATTAAATATATCATTTTAATCTTTAATCTATTTAATCTATATTAATCGAGTCCTTCCGTTAAAATTTGCCATTAACATTAACGGTAGCTAATTTATTAACATCTCATGGTTTTAAACATTTTAGAACAATACAATTATTTTTAAAATTTAAGTAGCTAATCTAGTTCTTTTTTTAAATATACATATATACACACACAAGTATAAAACTTATAAATAATTAATTAAATAAATAATATAAAACCAAATTTATGGCTTAAATAATACTAGTACTACGTATATAAGAGAGAATCAAATAACTCAATTATATACATATGAGTAGATAAAGTAAATAAGAAAATGAGAATGGTTGTTATTATTATTAATTATATTAAGAGAAAATTATCCTAGATATGACTAAAACTCATTCACTTTTTCAATACTCGACCTCATTAGTTTTTTCTTAGAGTAATACTCTCTATTTAGATTCGTAATATTTAAATAAATAAATAAATTTTTTGGACTAATTTGCCACACACTTTTTACTAGAATATAATATGCCCTTAGATTATTATTATAAAATCATAACTTCCTACTCATTTTCTAAAAACTATAGCCATCAGCCCGCCGCGGCGGCACCCGTCGGCCTCATAGCCGCGGCACCCGCTGCCCCGTCTCCGCAGCACACGCCTCTGTTGGAACCGGAGGATAACAATGGTGAAATATAAGGGTGTAAATATGGCTGAACCGGATATCACTTCTAGTCACGTATTAAATACGCTTTCCTAAAAGTTTACTATCTACCCTTATCACAGTAACCGGGTTACAAGATAGAACTTTTGGGATAAAAAGAAGGTGTACAGTGTATTTTGGCTACTGACAAAATAACACTAAACAAGTGATATGTATAAAAAGCAGTCTAAATATTTTATTACTATCACTGCAGTTGATAACAATAAAATTAGGCAAACTAATGACAGTCTAACTAACAAAACTCAGTTTTGTTCGTATAATCCGTGCTCAACATCACTTACATTTTTATAGAGTAAAAGAATTCTTCAAATGGTCATGACCGTAGGAATAAACATGATGCTTTGCTGAAAACTGATTTTTCTAAAACCGGCAAACATTAGTCGTGACTTTTCCAAAGGTTATGTCATTTTTAAATTAAATTAAAGATAAGCACTAACCTTTGAAGCCCACAACTAAAAAGTTACGTGCATCTAAAATCAAGTTAAAAATAATTTATTTTATTTTAACTAAAAACATAACGCACAACCGACATGACCATTTTATAGTATAATAATAATTATTATTACTTAAATTATGATAACTATA